TTACGTAGAATCGAAATATGCAATCACATACAGGGTGTTTCATTTAAAATAGCGATGTTGCCACTGGTTTAGAGTAGAAGCGGCAACACCGCATAAACAAAAATATTTTTAAAGTGTAGATTATGGTCGCTTATCCCGGTTGTGTGGAATTTTCAAAATGATCCGCTTTTTAGTTCTCTATAAACGTCTAATACGCCATCCACCGTGGGACACCCTGTATATGAAAAAAATCAATTCGCCTTTTTGTCAAGTATACTCGATTAGTTGGGTTTTCAGCCAAAGAGGGCGCCGTAATTCATAACCGGTACATACCATTGCAGATACTTTTCTAGAGGTGATATGTTCTGTGATGTCAAACAATTTGTATCACACGACTCTTTCACCTTCATGATATCATTCTGGATTTTACTTTGCAAGATCTGTGGCTCACGTTCAATCCATAAAATAGTGGTGTCATCAGCAAACAAGGTCAACTTTCCATCAATATTCACGTTAGTCAGGTCATTTATGTACAGAAGGAAGAGTAGTGGTCCTAAAACTGAACTTTGGGTCACTCCGTGAGGATTAATAAGAGCCACTGAGTTTTTATCCTGACCACCTGACAATCTGCTCCCTGTTGTTAAGGAATGATTTAACCCAACCAAGCGCAACCCCTCTGAAACCGTAATGGTAAAGCTTAAATTAAAAATCTCATCACATGTATTCATTTTAGCTCGGAACCCAAATGGGCCACTTTCACGTGCCGGGAATATGGCAAATTGTGATATTTTTAGGCATAGATACATTAATGCAACTGAGAATGAACAATATTTTGCAAGATTTTAGTCAGATTATTAAATAAATTAATAAATAAAAACTAAAAATTTAAACGAAAAATCACGTGATTGAAAACGCCCTCTGATTGGCTAAAGCCGATTTTGACTTTTTTGTTGCCACATGTAGAAATGCGAAATTTATATGAGTTAATAAGGATTATACCTATCCTTTATTTTTTTATAATGTAGTAAAGGACGAAAATAGTTTCTAGCTAGTGAAATGTGTAATGATTTACTAATGATAAATTTGGCATCCTCATATTTTTCTTGATTTTCTGGTTTGTGACGTCACAAACCAGATTCGCGTTTTGGCGCCAGTTTAGAAATTTGATTTTTAAATAATTTTTTTTCTTCAAAAATAACCTTTTTTTTTTTTCGGAAAAAAAGTATACAGATAGTATAAGAATAACCTCGAGAATAACTAAAAGAATAATTTAAATAATAAATATGTTTTTGAAAAATGTGAAAGTGGCCCATTGGCAATTATTAAGTATTTTATGTTTCTTAAAAAATGCGATCATTCTGGATTCAACCAGTTTCTCTAATATTTTGGATAGGGACGGGAGCAGAGATATAGGGCGATAGCATGAGGGATCCTCGGCATTACCACCCCTAAAGATAGGTCTGATAATGCTTGTCCTTAAAGAAGTAGGAAAAACTCCAATGTCAAACGAATGATTAATAGCAACACAAGCAATTTATGGCGTTATCTGGCATGCATTCAAATATTTTTAAAGACATTTCATCGATGCCAGCGGAATTTTTATTTTTTATTTCCCGGAATGTTGCTTTTAATTCTATCGGATCGGTATAATAAAGCCAAAAAGTTTCCGAAACAGAATGTTTTAAAAAATGATAAGGACTTACATCAGAACAAATTTCATCCATTAGGCCTTGTGTCACATTGCATTATGTTTATTTAATATATTTGGCTCTATATCCACATGATTTGAACGCGAAGAGGAAGTTCCCGTGAGTTCATGAATAATTTTCCACACTTCTCTAGGTCTATTTGATGCTTCATTCAACCTACTTTCATAATGAATTCGTTTGGCCTCCTTAATAATTTGTCTGTAAATCGTTCTGTGTCTGTTAAAATAACTGCTCACAGTTTGAATGGAGCAAACTTTCTTAATGTATGAAGAAATCTTAAGTTTTTGGATGATGTTTTAATTCCTCTTGTAATCCAAGGTTTTTTATTTTTATATTTTATCTTTCTTGGAGAGAAAGCTTCCTCAAATAGTTCTTTCAGGCTCTTATAGAATTTATTTAGCGGATCAGAACCATCCCGGTTAAGATTCCATTTGAAAGCAGCAGCGCTTTAAAATTTCTTGTGCTGTAAATTCGGCCACATTTAACAGTTTTTGATTTTTTGTGCTTAAGTGAAATGCTAGCCAAAATAGCTTCATGATCTGAGAGACCAGAGGGTATTACAGCTACATCAAAGTCAATGTTATCCATGAAGTTAACACAGAAATAATCTATGAGTCTGGGAAGTACTTGTGATACGAGTTGGTTCATTAACCAGCATACTGATATTAAAAGAACCAAATAAATTTACCAGATTCTGAACACATGCTGAACTCACTTCATCATAATTGATATTAAGATCACCCGCCAATATCACTTTTGAGTTCAATGAAAAACATGTGAGCAAAGATTCCAATCTCTCCAAAAAGTCAACAATATCACCCTTGGGGGGTCGATAGACGCAAACTATGTACAAATCATTTATACAATTAAAAACCAAGGAGAACTCGAATACATCTTCCTTTATCAGGTGCTCATGTTGTGTCACATTGGCCAAGGGAAAGTCCCCTGCAACATCATCTCTCACTAAAATGATTGTACCCCATGGACAGAAGTTTTTTTACAATATGAACTTAATACACTATATTACAAGGTTCACCATCCCTTAGCCAATGCTCTGTCAGTAACAGGACATGTGGCTTATTCTCAGTTTCAAGAAAAACATCAAATTCATTAGTTTTATTCCTCAGTGACTGTATGTTTAAAACTAACAATGTAAGTTCTGAAGATGTTAAGAATTCTATTGAGCTTCGTTTTGGCTTTTCTCTAAAAAAGATTGTGAGAGCATACTTTCACTTAAACCTAAAGTTGTGGATCTGGTGGTGACAATCACCTTCCCATGCCCATTGTGTCCATCATTGTCAACATTCGTTAATGAAGGCTTTGTTTTAATATGTAGTAAATTAGATCCGAGTCCAGTAAAAAATGTGCCAATAGAAAAAGAAATTAAGTTTGCTAATCTAGACAGACCCTGCCCATTCAAATATATTTTAGTCTTAACATATTCAGAAGCCCCAAACCTACACTCCAAGTCAAGAAAATCTACGATACTTCAATTTATTTGTAACACTACGCTATTTGTTATTTATATACTTAAGATTATTTCTGATAGTATCTGAGCAATGCCGATTAATAGGAATTGAACACAAAATTAGATTAGTATAAAAATATTGATTTGCAAGCCAAGTAATGTCTTTCAGTCAGGGCTATATCACAGTTATTTACCCTGGCCAAAACCAAAACGTAATCTTTATCAGTCAGTTCAGATGTGAAACAACCGATACTCGATATAGTTTCTTTAAACTTTGCAAAAGGTTTACATATTAACTGGAGTTCAAACCTAAATTTCAAAGACTTATAAAGTTTATCATATACATATTTTCCATAGTCGTCTGTTAATATGATTATTTTAGGCTGATGAGTTTTATTACGTTTAGAAATGGTAGCAATTTTCAGACACTCAGCTAAACCATCATCAGCTGCCCTGGATATTTCAGCCGATCCCAAATTCTCCCCTTCATTTATCATATTAAATATTTCATTCCTCAGTATTTTGTTTTCTGCAGCAATCAAATCACTTTCCGCAGTCAGTGTTTCAATAGACGTTATCATATTTTTACTCCTTGTCCTCATTTCGTCCATTTCATCTTTATATTTCCTATAATCATTTTCTCAAAGTTAGCTATTTCAATACTTTGAGAAGATACCCTTTGTTTCAACTCTTCTATCTCTCTCCAGCTATAGATAGATACTCCTGATCACAGTAGACCCAGCAAAGCCAATAAACCTGATATCATTTTTAAGAACAAAAAACAGAAGAAATGCCTACTGATAGACGTAGCGATTCCATCAGACTACAATATCATTCAAAAAAAAGCTGGAAAATACTTAAAATATAGGGACTTACAGATTGAAACGAGTGACAGGCTTGATCTCAAAAAAAACACAAGAAATGAACAAATTCCTGGAAGTCATAATCTACTCACACTTCAAAAATATGTCGTATTAAGCACTGCACATATACTGCGCAGAACATTGTAAAATCTGCACATCACGCAAGGTCCGCTCTCGGCGTTTCTCCTCCATTACCACAGCCAGGCTGTGTAATAGAAAGAAAATAATAATATTAATAATAATAATAATAAACTAATGAGTCTATTGAATGCAGTTTTACATTGCTCTGTTTCAATCATGCAAAAAAATGAAAACATCAAGATATTGAGTTTATCTCCGTTCTTTATTTTCTGAAGAATTAACATTTTGGGACGAAATCGCACTTTCGGATAAGGCATTCTACTATTATTAGTTTTTTTCTCGGAAGTTTAGCTGACTTTTTTTTCTCTACTTCTTGTGGAATGTCCTCGGAGATTACCATTATACCTTGAAAGGAAGATGGTTATGTCACAACTGTTATAGATTTGTATTGTTTTGAATGTCTCAGCAAGATCCCTATTGATGTCACACTTGCAAATTTGTCAACAAAGGCAATTATTCTTGGGTAACTTGTAAGTCAATGGAAACTTTTTGACTAGGTACTAATTGTTGATTGTCCATGTATTGCTGGCTGTGTCTCTCTATTATTAAAGCTACCACTTCCAGTGTTTTATCTTGAAAGACTTTTCATTCTACTTCGAGTGCACTGAAAGTGTTCCGTTCATGACATTGAATTTCAGAAGAATCACTAATTAACCAAACATATCCTTCTTATATAAATATGCGAGTCAATATGTAAAACAATTCTATAGTCCGTTCATAAAGTCTATAGACTGTAGAAATCTTAGATCACGTACTCGAAAAAGTCTATAGGCTTTATGAACGGACTTCAGACAATTATTTTGTAAAATTATCTGAATATTTTTTTCTTTTTTTTTTCAGGAATCAACATCACACCTTGCTCAAGCCAATAATGTGATAGCCAAATTGAAACAACACACTTTGTTGTCAACTTATTTTCAAAAAGTCCAGTTTTGGCACAGTACTGGATGGATTCTCTTGCCTACTATTATTACTACTATCTACTAGTTAACTATTATACTACGTAATTGAAACCCATCGAAATCTACTACTTGCAACATATCCGTCACTTATCGGGATAAATTCAGTCCAAAAAAAAGTAAAATATTTTTTTTCTCTTCCATTTTTTATGCGGATATCACATGATTTTGTTAACGTATCTTGGTCCATATCTTATGCTACATCAAGTAAGTAGTTGATAATATATTTTTTTGGTTTTTAGGAAATTTTGAAATAAATAATTGTAGTATCCGCATAACTAATATTTGACGTAATCATATCCATAATTACTGAGCACATATCTTTTTTAATTTTTAAAATATATTTCTGTGGTGCCATAGATGTATATTTTGCTTCATTTGCATCAAAATGCAAAAGAAAGTTGCTGTTTTCTTCAACAAAAAAAAATTGTATCAACTTCCGTTGCCACTGTGCCAAATTGTTTGGTCAAATCTTTTTAAGGATACTCTCAAGACAATTGTAATTTTGTTTTTTTTTTAAATTATTATTAATATTAATTTATTGTTGATATTCAGTTTTTATTGTATTTGTATATATTGTGGTGAAAGCTTTAGACCATAGTTAAATTTTATTGGGTATTTTGGATATTTACATTTGTGGACTAAGGCAGCTTTCAGACTGGCGATGATATTTTTAATTATTTATTTATTATTTTATTTGGCTCATGGCACAAGGGTTTTTTGACATCTCAAAGTTGCCAGTCTGAAACAGCCCAGTGCAATAGTGACGAGTTTTAAATTGCCGCTGAGAAAAAGAAAACGTATTTTCCAAGAAAATCTGTTTTCAGTTTCTCGATTGAGGGGTTTAACTACTCAAATTTCACATATAAAGGAACCCTGTGCCTAAAGTGGCTCTTAGTCGGTTGAATTTCAGTTTTAATAAATGAAGTATTGGGCATTCATTTTTAACTTATTTTAAAAAGGGCAAAGGACAAAATTTTTATCAATCAAGATTGGATTGGCAATAGAAAATTAGATTAAGTCAACCAATCATTGAGATTCATTAATCCACACTGTAAATTTTAATCCAATCGAAAAGACCTAATTGTTTTATTGTTATTGAACCCAAATGCTGTACATATTTTTAATGGTCTAAAGTTTTTCTATTAGAATTCCTCACTTCCATGTTAATCTTGTTTACAAAAATGGTTGAGTATGCCAAAAAAACTCGAGCATCTTGCCTTTTTGGGTTGTGCAAAAGTTTTTATTATTTTTAAGTAAATAATTTGCCTAAGAGAACAAATAAATCCCGTTTAAGGCAAGGATGCTCATTAGCCCTATTATTGATGAAGTGAGCAATATAAGCAATAATTAAAGAAATTATAAAAAAAAATCCAAAAAATTGGTGATTTGTCACTGAAATAGATAGATGTCCAAACAATTACTTGTGTAGGTTTCAGTATAATCAATCGATTAGGCTAATGAATTTTATCGGTTGGAGTTTATGGAAACGATTTTAATCAAAATGAGTTCTAGATCAAAGGAAATCAATAGAGTCAATATCTAAATTTAATCAAAGTCAATTAGTTTAGTTAAATTTAAATTGGGAGACAGTGCAATTGTTCGAATCAATTATCGGTAACGAATTTTGGCGCTTAAGTAGTTGCCTTAAAGTACTTTTTGGCCTTATTCAGCTAGACAAACTCAGACGAAATATTGTGGTGGACCAAAAAATTATTATTATTTTGATTTTTTGCTGTTAATTTTTGTAGATGTTCCTCTGGAATACTTGGTTGTGTTAAGGAGTCCAGAAATCAGCTTAATTTCTGGATTTGTTGTGGCGTATTCGACTACCCTGCTTCAGTACAGACTCAGCTGGCTTCTTTGATAGTGCAGTAGAATTATTCTTGTTTGGGTTAATTCAATTTACCACAAAATCATCAATACTTGATAAATAAATATAAGTTGGAGCAAAAATAATAACTTTAATATAAATAAATGAAAACTAAATTACCAAATAAGGGAAAAAAGAAAACACGATAGAAATTCTAGATTAGCAGTGAGCAAATTGTTAGCATTAAGTAACTGAGTTATTGATCAAACTTTTATAGTGATCAGCTTATACATTAGAAAGCATTTGTTATAATAAGAGAACATCTTTTTCTTCGTGTTCTTATCCACTCCCATATTTTCCCATTTCTGCCTGTCCATTTTTTCCCAGCAATCCCCTGAATGTAAATACGCCATCTTTTTTGAAGTCTTCCAACTCTCTCTAATACTACTTTACATTTCTGGATATTGAGAGATCCAACTTATTGTGTCAATATAATCTACAATAGAAGTTGGGATCGGCAAAACTAGGACACAGAAAAACAATACTGAACCATCATGGAAGTCCTTTGGAACCCCCAAACGATGATTTTATGTGATCTTGATCCACAGATGACACATAGGACTTTATCCATCCATCGAATATCTCCCACAAAGACCAATTTCCGAAAACTTCTTGATGAGTAAATAAGTGTATTATAATCATCAACCTGCTTCAAAGACTGAAGACATATCACTAGAGAAAAATTGGTGGAAAGGGGAAACTGCTGCCAACATTAGATCACTTATCAACTTATTAGATGCAAATTAGTTAATCTTCCTAGAAAGAAGAATACAATTCAAGGCTATTTTAACAATGTTGTTTCCAAATTTGATTTTTCTTGTTTGGATTTTGTGAGCTCGAGTCTTCTTAGACCACCGCCCAATCTGGTTTTACTATGGAAGATGTACTGGGTAGTACATCTGAGTGATACCCATGTCTTCCATAATGTTGTCCATTTTCCATCAATTTTCACGTGTCTAGGATTTAGGAAGGCTAGAAACACATAACAACACGCTTCTCGCTCTGTGGCTCTCAGAGCGTTACACAACATCAGCCAGGAATATAAAGGATATAGCTGTTTTAAAATGATAAATTATTGTTAGGCAACCTAAAGCAAACACACTGTTACTCATTTATGCCAAACTATCTACTAAGCTAAGCTAATAGTTTTATAACTTCATATTTTCATTAATAAGAAAATCTATGATCTTGTTCATTTCTCTTGATGATGGGCGATTTAGAATTGATTATTAGTCCTTTTACATCCTGTATTTGTTCCTTATACAGGGTCCTTGTTTTGTGATCTCTTATAGGGCAGGTAAACAGAATGTGATTTAAATTTCCTTTACTTCCGCATTCGCAATTTGGGTTATCCTTCATCTTAATTTTGTATAAGTGTTCTGGGGTTAGACAATGATTAGTTCTCATTCTACATGTCATTGTTATACTTTTTCTCAATCTATATTTTATTTTATGGAACCATGGTACTTTCTGGAGTATAGTATAGGGTATAGGTTGGATGTCACAATAATATGCTTTACCCCCCTGGAACCACTCTTGATATAATTTAGTCCACTTTCGCCACAAATGGTCTTTGATCAGTAAAAGGAGTCGAGTAACTAGTATGGTGTTTTGTTGACTTATATTTTGTAAACTTTTTCCCTTTAACGCCTGTCTGTCAGCAATCCTATTTCCTCCTATGCTTATATGTGATGGTATCCACATTAATTTGATATGAGGTCAAAAGTTCTTGTCTTGTACTCAGGGTAATACAGGGTGTCCCAGAATATGTGGGCAATCTCTCGGATTCAGATAGAACACAAAAATATAACATGACAACTTCCTATAAAAAAAAAAATCCTACGGCCCCCCCTACGAAGTTACGTGCCCCTAAATTACGCTTCTGAAAATCGGTTTTTTGTTGATAACTTTCAAAATACTTAATGTATTTTTTTTTCTTTTAATATGATGGATACTAGATAAGACCCCTTAAAATGGACCCTTTTAAACACACTTGGCGAATCTAGTTTGCCAGGGATGGACTAGCTTTAACACAATAATGCTAATTTTTTTTACACCCTGTATGATATAGGCATAGCAATAATATTTTTGGATAGTTTTAACCTTGAACTAGAAAAAAGGTACTCTTATTCGATGTGAAAAAAATGAGCTGGTTTCGAGAAAAATTTGTTTTTGTGTATTAATGGTTTTTTATTAAATAATTTTTTATGTCGAGATCCTTCTAATCTTATGCATTCCATACCAATTTTAATGAAAAATTGTTCGACTCTCGACAATTCTTCAATATTAGCCCTTATTTCGCGACAGTGGAAATTAATCCTTTCTACTAATATTTCCTCGGTGTCATATAGTTTTAGCAAGTCCGTCCTTGGCAAACAAGATTGGTTAAGTGTGTTTGAGAGGGTCATTTTATGGGGTAGTATCCATCATATTAAAAGAAAAAAAATACACAAAGTATTTTGAAAGTTATCAACAAAAAACCGATCTTCACAGGCGTCCTTTAGGGGCACGTTACTTCGTAGGGGGGGCCATAGGAATTTTTTTTTATAGGAAGTTGTCATGTTATTTTTTTGTGTTCTATCTGAATCTGAGAGATTGTCCACATATTCTGGGACACCCTGTATAGTCACTTTCTTTACATATTCCCATCCTCTCAATAGCCTGTAGTGCACTCAGTGAGTCCGATACTATAGCCACCCCTTTGGTATGTACTCCTATGTTTCGTACTACTTCCCGAATAGCTAGCGTTTCGGCTATGCAAATTGATGTCTTGTCCCTTTAGTCTTCTCATAGTTATTTTCTTACAATACATCAAATTTTTGGGATCCACTAAAGCATCCGTAAATGCTATATTGAGACCATCTAGTGTTGTTGCAGCAATGTGATTGAATTCTTTGCTGTTATTACTGTTTTTAAATAAATTTATTTTTGTGAACTGAATTCTTTTGGTTTGAATGTCGTATAGGAAGTTATAACATGGTAGTTTTGTGTCATGATATTATCAAATCCGTCCATTATTGCTGGTGTTGGTTTTCTTCGCCAGTAAGGAGGATCTTCATTATAAATTTGGTAGAAGTTGAGTAATTGCCGTTTTATTTTATCATTGTTTAGACGAAAATTTAGCAGATTATCAAATCCTACGAAGGTCTATATAGGGCAATTCCACTGTTTCTGATAGCAAAGCTCTGATGGGTGTGCATCTCATACACCCTGTAATTATCTGTAAAGCCTGGTATTGAATATTATTTATACTATTCTAGTTTGCCTTTGATGTTTTAAAAATGTATAATATACCATATTCTAGATGTGATAGAACAGCTCCATTAAATATCATTAGTAATACTTTTGGATCTGATCCCCACCCTACTCTCGTATGGTTAAGCCACATGGCGACTCTTCTGAACTTGTTTTGTATTTTTCCCTCTGCTATATTAGATGTTTGTATAAATAGGGTTAAATCATCAGCATATCTCAATAGTTGTATATCCTCATCTTTTGGAAGAAGATCGTTTATTGAACACGTGTTTAGGTTGAATAATACTCGGCTAAGTGGCGATCTCTGTAGGAGTCCCTTGTTTGTGTACCTAGTTCCTATGACTTCTCCGGTATCTGGGAATTTAACGTAAACAAGCCGGTTTGTAAGGATATTGTGAATAAATCTAATAGTTTTCGGAAAATTTTGACTTTCTGTCTTTAAATTCAAAATGCCTTAAGCGATTTTGTTCAAATTTTTAGAGAGTGTGATGTTCTCAAGCTACTTTCTAAAAAAATCGTTTGAGTTACGCTCCTCCAAGACTGGACCTAGAGCGACTCTTTTTTTTTTTTTTTTAAGAAAAAGTTGGTACGCCCTTAGGTTTTTTGACAAATAAATAGTTATTTATGATATAAGTGCTAAAAGTGACATTTTATTTTGTGAAAAGGGAAGTTTGGGACACGACGCCGAAGGCGGAGTGTTCTGTCCCTTTGAACAAAATAAAATCACTTTTAGCACGAATATTATACACTATTTTTTCTATAAACGCACTGAAAGTGGTTACTTTTAGCACTAGTGCTAAAAGTAATCACTTTTAACACCAGTGTCATAAAATGGCATTTTAGACACTGACAGCATCCGTTAAAAATTACACTTTTAGTGACGTTTGTAGAAAAAAACTATTTTTTGATTCCTTGTTTAATTTTAAGCAAAAAAAGGTGTCCTGAGTTTTTCGTCTTTGGTGCAATTAACGTTTACGAGATAAAAAATAAAAATCAATGTATTGTTTGGAAAATCTCGTGTTCGATACACTCCACTCTGTTGAAAAAATAAGAGTCGCTCTAAGTCCGTTCCTGGAAAAGTGAAACACAAACGGATTTTTTAGCAAGATGCTTAAGAACATCGCAACATCGAACATCTCTGAAAATTTGAACAAAATCGCTCAAGGCATTTTGAATCTAAAGGCAAAATGTCAAAATTTTCTGAAAATTTCAACACTGTATTTTTTTAACGAAACGTTTGCGGACACATGTAGGTACCTATGCAAAGACTGTTTGTCCTACTGTACTTTAGCTATCATAACAAAATGCGCACCTATTTCGGACTCACCCTTTATATTGCTGTCGATAGGTATGTATACTGCATTCTCAATAGTGCCTCGACCTTTTCCTAAACCCATTTTGTAGATCACATTATGAGATTCTATAGTGTGATCTAGCCTCATCTAAATGATTCCATTAACTTCCCTATACAGGATGAAAGCGTGATTGGTCTATAGCTTAAATGATCCGCAGGGTTTTTTCCATAGGGCAAATGACTTGGCTTTGACAATCCTTAGGTATTTGCATTGTGTGTCATTAAGACTTTTGTTAAATATGACCATTAATTTCTGTTTGTGCTCATCTGGTAAGTTTTGCAACATCTTATTGGTCACATCGTCCATTTCTGGGACTCTCTCTTATTTTGTAGGACAACTTCTAATTCCTTTGTTGTTATTGATTATATTAGATTAAAAAGTTATTCAACCAATTTTCTTTTTCTAGTGTATGGTTTTTCTATGTACGATCGGTCAAATCTCTTGATAGTTTTCCATATTGTGGTGATTGGCATGCTGCGGTTCAGGTTGCCACAGAAATCCTGCAATTCCTGTTTTTATTTCTGCCCCAAGAATCTTTTTGTTTTGCAGCTTCTTTTTGGTGTTTAATAAATTTTTCGGTATTAGGATTGTTTTTATATAAGCCTTGAAGGCTTCTCGTCTCTTTAACTGTGGTCCCACCATGGTGGATGTTTAATATATCTTATATCAGCTTTATTAAAGGTTACCAATGGTATATTATTGTCTGCTGCCTCGTTCATTTGTTTTATCCAGGTGTCATAGGATCCTTGTGGTAGGTCTTGCAGTTGCCTCTTGTATTCTTCTCAATTTGCATATTTTGTATTCCTCCTCCCATATGGTTTGCATAAATTTTGCATCAGTCTGTACTCTACAAACTATTGGTAAATGATCACTGCTATTAGGACCTTCATGGACTTCCCATTGACATTTTAGAGCAATCTGTGCCTACACAATTGTGATATTAGGGCAGCTATTTCCTTCCCTAGTGATTCTAGTTCGGTTGTCGTCATTCAGGATAATAATCGTGTTTTGCTCATTAATCGCCCCCAACAGATTTTCTCCTCTCTCATTACCATCATAAAACCATAACAAATCTGTGAAGTTTTGTACACATTCATGATTTTGTGGTCTGGTATTACCATTGCTTGGATTTGAAAATACTCATGTATTCACTTTGGTCATCCTCTATCCTGAGGTCTTCTCCGCTTGCTTCTGCCATTTCTATATCTTCCATCATTTCTTTTAACATTCGTTGTTGACTTCTTTCTCCTTGACTTTTGAACAAACTCGTTTCACTTATTATCTGACAGACCCAGTCAGCCTGTAATGTTTTGTTCTGCCACATTCTGGCCTTGGCCGGGTCTTCTGCCTCCTTTTCTGTTCCGTTCTAGGAAAATATAGATGGGCGTCGGTGAACTGACACTTCTTGCTGGTGATGGGAAAGTTGCTTCTTTGACTGCCTTTTTATCTATTAGTGGAGTTAAATCTGGTTGTGTACGTCTTTTTGGGATTCTAACTGTCTGAGAGTACAGTGGTGTTCTCCTATATGCTGTCCTATTATTCCACTCCCTGCTTTCTTGGATTTCAATAACATTTTCTCTGGTAGTGTCACGTTTTGGTAGTTGAGGGAACTCCTTTTTTTCCTATACATATCGGTCACTCATTGAGTGGTATGAATAAAAAGTGATTTTAGACTCGGAGTATATACTCGTGAGCATGAGTATGAAGTCTGAGCTTATACTCCATTTCGTAAGAATAAAAAAGATTTCGATTTGATAAGTACATACTCCTAGTACATAAAGTAGATACTCAACATTTTATTTTGCTTGCCACCGCTCTTTCGCCTCTATATCCTATTCACAATCCGATGTCCACAGGTACAGGTAAATTTATCACCTTTCCCTGTCAAATAGCATTGAAAGGTGATAAATTTTACATGGATAATATTATATCCGCAGGACTGCGGGGAAATTTGTTCCACCGTTCACTTTGCTGAATTATCTTATCAGCTATTTCTGATACAACTTTAGACACCGAAGTTTGATGAACACCAAGATCCTCGCCTACTCCTGCCTGAAAGCCCGGGTCACTCGCGTATCTTAAAAATATTTTAAATTTGTCTTTGTTGCATAAAGCCACCTCTTCTTTCTCCGGACTTTTCACCCAAAAATTGATTTGATAACCACTCCACAATTTCTTTACTAAACCGGTACAACGTTTCAAAGTCCCGATCACACGTATTTTTTCTAGCTTTGTAAAATTTTTCCGAACGAAGGTTGAAGAACTCTGCCATAGCTCTGCGTTCTACCGAGGGAAAATCGGTACTGAAATAACAGCAGAAAGTTGAGTCTACTGTATAGCAGACTCGAAAACTATGGAGTAGATTCTCCTGCCGAAGAGCACAAACAATTTTTTATTTATACCAAAAATTAGAATCTACTCATACCAAATTATACATAGAAGTACCTACTCAAGCGAAATATCTGCTCGTAGTTTTTATTCATACCACGTGGAGTATTTACTCCAAAATTTGGAGTAGAAACTAAATGCTCATTTTTATTCATACCACCCATTGGCTCATATGAATAAAAACGAAGCAAATGCTTTTACTTAAGTTTTTTGAGATAAACATATTCAGCGGTAATGCAGCAAAAAGAGACGGAGGTAGAGTAAAAGCATTTGCTACACTTTATTCATACAAATGATTGTCATGTTCTGTGTTCTTCTCTGTACATTTGCTTGTAGATTTTGTTGTTTACTTTCAGAGTTTAATGGGTCCTAGGTCCTTAGGCACCTAGCTTTAGCTTCATAAAAAGGTATATTTTCTAGTGCCATAATTTCATTAATTTGTTTCTGTCTTTTATACTCTGGACAATTTCTATCTAAAGTTGAATGTGACTGTTGGCAGCTTATACACTTTGGACTTTTATTTTATCACGTCTTGTGTTCTTCATAGCATTTTTGACATTATCTTTTACTTCTACATGATTGTTCAAAGTGTCCAAATCTTAGACAGTGTCTGCATTGTAGAACTGATATGTTTGTAACCAATAGTAGTCAATTACAATCTGTTTTGGGAGTTTCATACCTTCAAAAGTAACTATTAAATGATTGCGTCGGGGTATATTCAATTTGCCCTTCATCATTCCTTCCTTTGATTAATTCGTCTAGCTGAAATAACTTTAAGTATTACTGTGAAAACAAACTATGAAAGGATGGGTTAAATAGGTGTGAAAAGGAAGGTATTGTACATTCCCCATTGTACTTTCCTTTGTAAATTGCACTGATTTAACAGATTTTTTAGATTAGGCCTTTACGGAAATGCTGATCCGATTGACCCAATCACAAGCTGTTTATTTTTCATATTTCTTCAATGAACACGATGGACAAATTACATCAGCTGTGATCGGGTTAATCGGATCAGCGTTTCCATAAAGGCCTATTAATTCTCACTCCGCAACGTGCCTTCGTTTTATCACTAGGATGGCGAACTAGCAATTTGATTCTAATCAGAAATTTACTGCTTGCACTATCATGGGTCAGTATGACACCGTCACTATGCCCTCTTTTGTTTAACAGTAGAATCACACGAAGTCGAATACGCCATTAGTTTGTGTTAGCATTGCACAAAAAATAATCCTATAGTACGTACATAATAGTGATATTGCAGCAGCCTGCTTTAAAAAGTGCCTATAAATGTATAATCCTAGAAAAAAAAGCGCCAAAATTTGTCCCATTTGAAAGTACCAATTATTTTAAAAAACCAGTTTCCAAAAAATTCCAACCAATTACAAAAAACCTATATTTTAAACTGTGATGGCGTAAAAGGCTCATTCCCCCCCAACGCGTATATAGCACAGAAGCTATCTTGTTATTATTAATTTTTTCTCTTAGAATTCTTTTTTAGAAGATGTCCTATTAACCTGCCAATTTTATATTTGGAGCGAGCGCGCTTCAAGTACGACTGTCCTAAAAAAAAAAAGAAAAGTACTATAGCGTCTTTTTTGTTTTTGTTTTTGTTTTAAATCGAAAAAAGCGATTCGGTTGTGATTGTACATAAATCTGATATACGATGACGACTTCGGCACGTCCTTTGATGCATCATGATATATTTAAAATGACTAAATGGTTCCTAAGATGGTTATATTTGTTTTGGTAATAATTACTATTATTGAAGTGTAAAAGGGTATATTACATACATAGAAATAACATTTAGGTAGGTACCAAAATTGGTTTAACAACTGAGGTTTGCGGGCGGGTGCATTGGGCACTTTCTTTTATCCAGCGATGGATCCATCAATGACCAGTCTATCTTGTCTAGTTCATAGAAAATCGAAATGACTGTGTCATAATGCTGACATCAGATGGATCCATTGCTGAATAAAAGTATTAGCCCCTTCTAGGTAATCTCCTAGTCTGCAATGTTGCGCTATTATGCACAACTTCATGGATATATCACACCCTCACCCTTATTTGAAACTACCCTAAGAGAGAGAAAATGGAATGACTAATTTTTCAAATATAAATCTAGCTCTCAGTAACACTTTTCTGCAAACATTATTATCTAACACGTTGACGGACAGTGGAAAATTTGTGGGGACCTCAGAAATACACACCTGTAACTTCTATAGAAGTTCTGTCCCCCCACGTAGATTTTTTTGAACGCAGTGGGACAACATACTACTAACAGCAGTAGTGGCAGTACTGCTATAGCAGTAAACAGACAAAACAAAAACTGGAAACTTTTTTATTTATCAGATAAAAGATGTTATTAAAATGTTAAATACTCGTACCATTTTTGGTTAATTTTAAATTATTTTTCCTTACACATACCTAGAATTATTGTGTAGTAACTATAAAAATAAAAATTCCAAAACAAAAATAACCATCCAAGTTACCGTAAAGTATACCAATGTATATCATTTAATTATAAATATAATTACTATATGTAGGAAATATGCTTATAATCAATTTTTCAAGTCATCTAGCTTTTCATTTTGTGAAAATAGCAAGTATAAAAATCCAAAAAAATATAAAATATATATTAAATAAAATATAACAAAAAATATAAATTGTAGGAGTTTATGGGTTGAAACAGTTCATTTTTGTCTTGGCCGAGAAGGTAAAGGTTTCGAGTGTGTGTTTGTTCCACATATTTTTGAATCAAAATTTTTTATCTTAATCTTAGGTTGCAATATGGGTTTTTTTCAAATGCTCAATAAATTTACCTAAAAAACTCCCTGAATACAAAATAATATTTTATCTTCGTTAATCTTGGGGAGTTGTGTAATTTGTCTTTAATTTATTTATGTTACAATGATTGGTTGTTATTAATTAGCTAGTACAATAGTTTTGTTTTTTTTATTATGTAAAATATCCTTTCTTTGAAAAATTACATGACACACAGATTAATGTTATTGGAAAAAACGAAAATTTAATAATTATAATATGGTTTGGTTTGTATAAAATAAAATATCAAAAAAAATTAAATAATTAAAAATTAAAAATATTTTTGTCCAGTGACCATATTGTAACGTCAGTAGGATATTGTGAGCATTTTTTGCTCTCTGTTTAATTAGTTTAAAAGAACATATTATGCCACCCTATATTATAAGAGACAAGAAAAACAAATCCATAGTTGATAATATTTGTATAATGCTTGA